TTTTTAAAAAAACAGAAAAAAAGAAAATGAAAACCAATCATTGTCAATCAAAACAGCTAGCAAACCCATTTGATTTGATTTGATTTGATTATTGTTAATTATTTTTAGTTTACCTACGGGTTTCATTCCTTCTGCTGCCAGCTTTTTGCTCATCTTTTTCTTCCACATATACTAATTTATTAGCTTCCTTCCTTTGTCAGCCAATTCACACAATAATTCTCATTTTCACATTTTAACTCTTTTTGGGAATTATATTATAGATGTATTATATGGGTGGGTTTGAATTTGATTAGATTTGACATTATGATTATGCATTTAAATTTGTTCCAAGATTTCGGCAGATATGTGTAGCCATCAGAACGTGAACTTTGAACACTCGTCTACTCCTTTTAGTCAAAAACAAGTTAAAGCCTATACTCTACTTTGATTTCAAACCCATGCCTTTGTATGCGGATACGATGGGCCCTTCCCCCCCCTTATCATCAGGTCCGGGTTCTAAACCGTATGCTCAGATCGTGGTTTCAGCAAGTTTCTTCTGGGTTTGTTCACCAAAACTGGAAACCAGCTTGTTGTACCCTATTGATCTCGGCTCCTCTGGACGGCATGTAGCTTTTTCTCTCTCGGCTTGCCTTTTGCCTAACCTCCGACACGTAGTCCTGTGTTTTGTTCTTTTGTGGGGCGTGTCCGTGTCGAGCCGTCAAGCATGGGAATGTGCTCCATCACATAATGGACCGATTTTAGTTGGATTTTGGGCTTTTGTGGGCCACCTTATATAAAATACAAGGCAAGGAATTTCGACGTCTCTTCGGTATTGAGTGTAAATGGATACACCAAAACATTAATAACAATAATCGCAAAAATTGAATTCTTGATCATAATCATTGATAGAGTTTAACCAAGAGAGAAAGGAGAATCAAATCAACTATGAAATTCAAGGATAATTAGAGATTCCTCGAGTTGTTGATTTGATTCTTTTACTTGTTTCGACGTATTTCGATTGTGGGTCATATCTAACGTGGTATCAGAGTCATGCTCTTTAACTTAGTTATGTCAGTAGAATCTTCAAGTGTCATGACAAAAAAGTTTTCAGCCTCGAAGGTGTAGTCGAAAGTGACTCAAAGTGTTGAATAAATTATGTACTTTGTTCTAGAGTTTTGCAGAAATGAGTCAAGCATAGATTAAGGGGAGGCTATTTGAGGGCTACATAGACCTCATGGGAGGCTATATGAAATACTTTATTGGAGGGGAGGATTGTTGAGAATTGTTGGGAGAGTCTCGTATTGACTAATTAAGGGAAATTGAACAAGCAAGAAGATTTCTCGTTGAGTTAGCCAAAGACTTTTCAATGTTGGTAACGAAAATCTAATTTTGTTTGGGGTTTCTTTTTTTCAAAACTGCGGTTGTACATTCTTCGCATGCATCATGCTTCGATAAGTTTTGCCTTTCTTCCTTTCTGTAACTCCATTTTGGTGTGGAGTATGTTGTGTGAGCAGCTAAACAAATGATCATGAGTTTATAAGCAAGGAATATTATATCCATTCATTCGTAAGGCAATAAAAAGATACAAACCCAGAAAACTCAACTCCTTTGTTACAATAGTGAATTTGAACACCGAAAACAACACAAAGTTGGTGGGAATTAAAAAAATGTGATCATATCTCATTATTGGAAGTGTATAAATCAACAAGCTTTACCAACAACACAACTCAAAGCACCAGCGCTATCAGTCAAAAGAGGAGCCAAAGAGCCATGAGCCACAGGAAAAGCTTGATCTCGAGTGTAGATAGGCGTACAAGACCCCCACCCAGATGGGATGAAATAAGCCCCATTCACAAACACATCATTTGAAGACCTCCATTTCCACTTCTTCCATCCATTCACATAAACCTCTCTCTTTGTAACCTACAGCATACATTTAACCCCCACAAATCCGATCTCGTTATCATAATCGTAATCGTAATCGTCGTCGTCGAGAGATCAAAACTGTATTCAATCATACTAATTAATTTACCTGCTTTGAGGATGAATCATCAGGAGCATCAAAGTAGTTTCCTTGGCTGAAGATTTTTGGATCTGCACTGCCACCCACAGCGTACATTTCCCACTTATGGTACCAATTATTGGCCACATGGGCATACCCAAATCTCACCCTACAAATTTATCTTATCAGAGGATTGGGTCTCACGTTAACTAATTTAGAGAATGATCATAAATTTATAAGTAAAAGAATACATCTCCCAAAACAAAGTCACGTTAATTATTGTGGAGAGCCGTGATTTCTTCTTTTGATTTAATTACCTTGGCATTCTTTGAACAAGTCCGTCGCCAAAACGATTGAAGGCTACGGTCACTCTCATAATTCGATCAGCTGTAAATTCATCGTTGTGTCCGAGAAGGATCACCTAACCACAACATTAATTAATTATTTAGTTCTAAATCAAAAAAAATTAGGGTATAATTAAAATAATTAATTTGAGGAGCCTACTTTATCATGTTGAGAGAAGTAATTATTGGAGATGGTGACGGCAGTGGAAGCGTGGATGACGTCAATGAGGCCGTCAGTGCAGCTAGCCAAGGAGCAATGGTCGATCCAAATATGGGAAGAACTGAATACAGAAATGGCGTCACCATCGGACTGTTGGCGGTCTCCACAATGGGTGACTGAGCTCCTCACGCGCCCAGGCTTGGCCGGCTTACAGTCACGGATGGTGATGCCGTGGATTATGACATGGCTCACGTTTTGGATGGTAATGCATGGCCCATTGCCAATTTCCACTTTAGCCCCTCGCCCGTCAATGGTCTTGAAGCTGTTCACCATCAGTTCCCTTTCCAGAGTAATCACCATATCTCTTGCGAATACAATCCATAATGGCTCCTCTTGGATCACCCCAAAACGCAGCGTTCCGGGCTTCGGGTATTCCGGGTCGTCCGACGGGTCTATGACCACGTAGATTGACCCGAATTTGCCTCCCAATGCGTCACTGCCAAACCCGACGGCGCAGTCTGCGAGGGCGCGGCGGTTGGCCGCCCAGTTGGGCTTGGTCCTCCAGCATGCGTCAACGGGATTGAGGGCTAGTTTGGTGTAGCTGTTGGAGTAGGCGGTGGACGGTGAAGGGAGGCGGATAATTGTGGCGAGGAAGAAGAGGGATAATAATGGGGAAGCCATGGGTGTGAGTTTTGTTGCAGAAATGGGAGTAAATTATAGGGAAAGTTGGTGAGTTTAATTTGTGGAACACACGATATTGATTTTGATATTGCTATTAAGGTATTAGCCTAGAGATTTTGTAGCGATTTGGGTGTGTTTTATGGTGAAACGTGGTTACACTTTCACCACCTTGTTGCTTATACAATTGAAACGTGCTTCCACGAGATAATTTGATTGTTTTTTTTTTTTTTTTTTTTAATATTAATTCAGAGGGTTTTGATAATAATACTCAAATGATCGAGTGGAATTCTGTTTATATATTGTTTATACATGATTTTTATGTTCTTGGGAGTTTTTGTGATTCACACGTCATCAAATCATATTATTAATTTATATCATAGATTCTATATCATTTTTATAGGTTATTGTAATAATTATAATTTTTTTTTAATTTGTGTATGATAATATATTTTCAGATGTTGGAGATTTATGTGTTATTATATTTGAACAATCGAATGACAACTCTCCACTATGGTATGATATTGTTCACTTTGAGCATAAGCTCTCATGACTTTAGGCTTCCCAAAAGGCCTCATGCCAATGGAGATATAATCCTCAACAATGCTCCCCTCGAACAAAGTACACTATAAGCCTCCCCTTAATCGAGGCTCGACTCCATTCTCTGGAGCCCTCGAACAAAGTACACCCTTTGTTCGACACTTTAGTCACTTTTGACTATAACTTTGAGGCCCACAATTCTTTGTTCGACATTTGAGGATTTTATCGACATGACTAAGTTTAAGGCATGGCTCTGATACCGTGTTAAGAATCACGGATCTCCACAATGATATGATATTATCCACTTTGAGCATAAACTCTCGTGGATTTGCTTTGGCTTCCCTAAAAAGCCTCATGCCAATGGAGATATAATCCTCAACACTTTCTTCCTAAAAATTTCTACAAGGTCACATTTTGAGCTTCTAACGAGTCTTTCAAAGTTGATATCCATCGCTAAACGTTTCATTTTGAGTCCAATAAATCATTTATAAACAAATAATTTAATATTAAAATCACTTTCAAACATGTTCTTTACCGTCAAAGTAAAGTATGAAGAAGAAGAAGAAGAAGAAA